GTCCCGGGGGGGGCAGCCTCATCTGGGGGGACAATCAGGGTCAGGGGACCCCCAAAATCCCAAAAAAAAAAAAACCCAAAAAAACCCCCCCCAAAAAAATCCCAAATCCTTCGCAAAATCCCTAAAAACACCCCCAAATCCCCCAAGCTCCTGCTCAGCCTCATCCTCCCCAGATCTCCAAAATTGCTCCCCAAACCCCCTAAAATCCCCTAAAATCTCCTCTAAAATCCCCTAAAACCTCCCAAAGTCCCCTAAAATCTCCCTAAATTCCCCAAAATCCACTCTAAAATCCCCCTAAAATCCCTTCCAATCCCCCTAAAATCCCCTAAAACCCACCCCAAATCCCCTAAATCTTCCCCAAATCTCCTAAAACCCACCCCAAATCCCCGAAATCTCCCCGAAATCTCCAAATTTCCCCCCCAAACCCCCTAAATCTTCCCCAAATCTTCTGAAACCCACCCCAAATCCCCTAAATCTCCCCCAAATCTCCAAAATTGCCCCCCAAACCCCCTAAAATCCCCCAAATCTCCTAAAACCCACCCCAAATCCCCTATAACCCACCCCAAATCCCCTAAAACCCACCCCAAATCCCCTAAATCTTCCCCAAATGTCCAAAATTCCCCCCCAAATCCCCTAAAATCCCCCAAATCTCCTAAAACCCACCCCAAATCCCCGAAATCTTCCCCAAATCTCCTAAAACCCACCCCAAATCCCCTAAATCTCCCCCAAATCTCCTAAAACCCACCCAAATCCCCTAAAATCCCCTAAAACCTCCTCTAAAATCCCCTAAAATCCCCTCTAAAATCTCCTCTAAAATCCCCTAAAATCCCCTAAAATCTCCTCTAAAATCCCCTAAAATCCCCCTAAAATCCCCTAAAACCCACCCCAAATCCCCTAAATCTCCCCCAAATCTCCTAAATCCCCCCCCAAATCCCCTAAATCTTCCCCAAATCCCCTAAAACCCACCCCAAATCCCCTAAATCTCCCCCAAATCCCCTAAAACCCACCCCAAATCCCCTAAATCTCCCCCAAATCTCCTAAAACCCACCCCAAATCCCCTAAATCTTCCCCAGATCTCCAAAATTGCCCCCCAAACCCCCTAAAATCCCCTAAAATCCCCTAAAATCTCCTCTAAAATCCCCTAAAACCTCCCAAAGTCCCCTAAAATCTCCCAAAATTCCCCAAAATCCACTCTAAAACCCCCACAAAATCTCCCTAAATCTCTCAAAATCCACTCTAAAATCCCCAAAAAATTCCTTCCAATCCCCCTAAAATCCCCTAAAACCCATTCCAAATCCCCTAAATCTTCCCCAAATCTCCTAAATTCTCCCCCAAATCCCCTAAAATCCCCCAAATCTCCTAAAACCCACCCCAAATCCCCTAAAACCCACCCCAAATCCCCTAAATCTCCACCAAATCTCCTAAAACCCACCCCAAATCCCCTAAATCTCCCCCAAATCTCCAAAATTCCCCCCCAAATCCCCTAAATCTCCCCCAAATCGCCTAAATTCCCCCCCAAATCCCCTAAATCTCCCCCAAATCTCCAAAATTCCCCCCCAAACCTCCTAAAATCCCCTAAAATCTCCTCTAAAATCCCCTAAAATCCCCCTAAAATCCCCTAAAACCCACCCCAAATCCCCTAAATCTCCCCCAAATCTCCTAAAACCCACCCCAAATCCCCTAAATCTCCCCCAAATCCCCTAAAACCCACCCCAAATCCCCTAAATCTTCCCCAGATCTCCAAAATTGCCCCCCAAATCCCCTAAAATCCCCCAAATCTCCTAAAACCCACCCCAAATCCCCTAAATCTCCCCCAAATCTCCAAAATTGCCCCCCAAACCCCCTAAAATCCCCTAAAATCTCCTCTAAAATCCCCTAAAATCCCCCTAAAATCCCCTAAAACCCACCCCAAATCCCCTAAATCTTCCCCAAATCCCCTAAAACCCACCCCAAATCCCCTAAATCTCCCCCAAATCTCCTAAAACCCACCCCAAATCCCCTAAATCTTCCCCAAATCCCCAAAATCTTCCCCAAATCCCCTAAAACCCACCCCAAATCCCCTAAATCTCCCCCAAATCTCCTAAAACCCACCCCAAATCTCCTAAAACCCACCCCAAATCCCCTAAATCTCCCCCAAATCCCCTAAAACCCACCCCAAATCCCCTAAATCTTCCCCAAATGTCCAAAATTCCCCCCCAAACCCCCTAAATCTTCCCCAAATCTCCTAAAACCCACCCAAACCCCCTAAAACCCACCCCAAATCCCCTAAAATCCCCCTAAAATCCCCTAAAACCCACCCCAAATCCCCTAAAATCCCCCTAAAATCCCCTAAAACCCACCTCAAATCCCCTAAATCTCCCCCTAAAATCCCCTAAAACCCACCCCAAATCCCCTAAATCTCCCCCAAATCTCCTAAAACCCACCCCAAATCCCCTAAATCTCCCCCAAATCTCCTAAAACCCACCCCAAATCCCCTAAATCTCCCCAAAATCTCCCCGAAATCTCCAAAATTCCCCCAAAATCCCCCAAGCCGCTCCCACCGTCGCTGCTGATCTCCATGTTCTCCGTGCGGGTGTCGTCCGAGGGCAGCGGGGCCTGGGGGGTCCCCTCGGGGGTCTCGGGGGCGTTTTCGGGGTCCCCCCCGGCCCCCTCCTCATCCTCCTGCACCCGCCGGCCTCGGCCCCGCGACCTGGGGGGGGTTTGGGGGAACTGAACCCCAAAAATGATACCCAGGACCCCCCCAAAATCCCCCCCAGGACCCCCAAATCCCCCCCAGAACACCCCAAAATCCTCCCAAGGACCCCCCCCAAAATCCTCCCCAGGACCCCCCCCAAAATCCTCCTCAGGGCCCCCGAAATCTCCCCCAGAACACCCCAAAATTCTCCCCAGGACCCCGAAATCCCCCTCAGAACACCCCAAAATCCTCCCCAGGATCCCCAAAATCCTCCCAGAACACCCCAAAATCCTCCCCAGGATCCCCCCCAAAATCCTCCTCAGGGCCCCCAAATTTCCCCCAGAACACCCCAAAATCCTCCCCAGGACCCCCCCCAAAATCCTCCCCAGGACCCCCAAATCCCCCCCAGAACACCCCAAAATCCTCCCCAGGACCCCCCCCAAAATCCTCCTCAGGGTCCCCAAATCCCCCCCAGGACCCCCCCAAAAATCCTCCTCAGGGCCCCCGAAATCCCCCCCAGAACACCCCAAAATCCTCCCCAGGAACCTCAAAATCCCCTCAAGGACCCCCCAAATCTTCCCCAGGAACCCCAAAATCGCCCCAGGACCCCCCAGTTCTTTCCAAGGATCCCCCAAACCCCCCCAGGACCCCCAAATCTCCCCCAGAACACCCCAAAATCCTCCTCAGGACCCCCCCCAAAAATCCTCCTCAGGGCCCCCGAAATCCCCCCCAGAACACCCCAAAATCCTCCCCAGGAACCCCAAAATCCCTCCAAGAACCCCAAAATATCCCACCCAGAACACCCCAAATCCTCCCCAGGAACCCCAAAATCGCCCCAGGATCCCCCAAACCCCTCCAGGTACCCCCAAATCCCTCCAAGAACCCCCAAATATCCCCCCCAGAACACCCCAAAATCCCCAGGACCCCCAAAATCCCCTCAGGGACTTTCCAAATCCTCCCCAGGATGCCTCCAAATCCCTCCAGGAACCCCAAAATCCCCCCCAGAACACCCCAAAATCCCCAGGACCCCCAAAATCCCCCCCAGGACCCCCAAAATCCCCCCAGGGACTTTCCAAATCCTCCCCAGGATCCCCCAAACCTCTCCAGGTACCCCCAAATCCCTCCAAGAACCCCAAAATTTTCCCCCCAGAACACCCCAAAATCCCCAGGACCCCCAAAATCCCCCCAGGGACTTTCCAAATCCTCCCCAGGATCCCCCAAATCCCTCCAGGTGCCCCCAAATCCCTCCAAGAACCCCAAAATATTCCCCCAGAACACCCCAAATCCTCCCCAGGACCCCCCAAAATCCTCCCCAGGAACCCCAAAATCGCCCCAGGATCCCCCAAACCCCTCCAGGTACCCCCAAATCCCTCCAAGAACCCCAAAATATCCCCCCCAGAACACCCCAAATCCTCCCCAGGATCCCCAAAATCCCCAGGACCCCCAAAATCCCCCCAGGATGCCTCCAAATCCCTCCAGGTACCCCCAAATCCCTCCAAGAACCCCAAAATATTCCCCCCAGAACACCCCAAAATCCCCAGGAGCCCCAAAATCCCCTCAGGTACTTTCCAAATCCTCCCTGGGATCCCCCAAGCCCCTCCAGGTACCCCCAAATCCTCCCCAGGAACCCCCAAACCCCCCCCAGAACACCCCAATCCCCCCCAGGACCCCCCAAAATCCTCCTCCAGCCCTTTTAGGACCCTCCCCACCCCCCCAGGACCCCCCAAATTTGCCCCCCAGCCCCACCTGGAGCCGAAGTCGCCCTGGGTGTCCCCCGGGGCCGTGGGCAGGAGGTCGTCGGCCCTCAGGGGTTTTTCCTTCTTGCGCAGTTTCCGCACCCGGCGCCGCGTCTTGCGGAACGTCACAGCCTGGGGAGCCCCAAAATCAACCCCAAAATCAACCCCAAATCCTGCCAGGATACCGAATTCCAACTGATTTACCTCAAAATCCTCCTCACAGACCCCAAATTCCCACTGAATTACCTCAAAATCCTCGCCACAGACCCCAAATCCCCACTGAATTACCTCAAAATCCTCGTCACAGATGTTAAATTCCCCTTAAATTACCTCAAAATCCTCGCCACAGACCCCAAATTCCCACTGAATTACCTCAAAATCCTCGCCACAGATCTTAAATTCCTACCAAGTTATCCCAAAATTACCCCAAATCGCCCCCATGACCTCAAATCCCCCCAATGACCCCAAATCCCCTCAAATCTCCCCAGACCCCAAATCCCCTCCAATGACTTCAAATCCCCAAATCCCCCCCAAATCCCCCTGAATGACCCAAACCCCCCCCCACAATGGCCCCAAATCCCCTGCAAATCCCCCCAAAATCAACCCCAAATCCTCCCAGGACCCCGAATTCCCACTGAATTACCTCAAAATCCTCACCACAGACCCCAAATCCCCACTGAATTACCTCAAAATCCTCGCCACAGACCCCAAATTCCCACTGAATTACCTCAAAATCCTCGCCACAGACCCCAAATTCCCCTTAAATTACCTCAAAATCCTCGCCACAGATCTTAAATTCCCCTTAAATTACCTCAAAATCCTCGCCACAGATCTTAAATTCCCCTTAAATTACCTCAAAATCCTCGCCACAGATCTTAAATTCCCCTTAAATTACCTCAAAATCCTCGCCACAGACCCCAAATTCCCCTTAAATTACCTCAAAATCCTCACCACAGACCCCAAATTCCCCCTGAATTACCTCAAAATCCTCGCCACAGACCCCAAATTCCCACTGAATTACCTCAAAATCCTCACGACAGATCTTAAATTCCCACTGAATTACCTCAAAATCCTCACCACAGACCCCAAATTCCCACTGAATTACCTCAAAATCCTCGCCACAGACCCCAAATTCCCCTTAAATTACGTCAAAATCCTCGCCACAGACCCCAAATTCCCACTGAATTACCTCAAAATCCTCGCCACAGATCTTAAATTCCCCTTAAATTACCTCAAAATCCTCGCCACAGACCCCAAATTCCCACTGAATTACCTCAAAATCCTCGCCACAGATCTTAAATTCCCCTTAAATTACCTCAAAATCCTCGCCACAGATCTTAAATTCCCCTTAAATTACCTCAAAATCCTCGCCACAGACCCCAAATTCCCACTGAATTACCTCAAAATCCTCGCCACAGATCTTAAATTCCCCTTAAATTACCTCAAAATCCTCGCCACAGACCCCAAATTCCCACTGAATTACCTCAAAATCCTCGCCACAGATCTTAAATTCCCCTTAAATTACCTCAAAATCCTCGCCACAGATCTTAAATTCCCCTTAAATTACCTCAAAATCCTCACCACAGACCCCAAATTCCCACTGAATTACCTCAAAATCCTCGCCACAGACCCCAAATTCCCACTGAATTACCTCAAAATCCTCCCAGGACCCCAAATTCCCCCTGAATTACCTCAAAATCCTCGCCACAGATCTTAAATTCCCACTGAATTACCTCAAAATCCTCACCACGGATCTTAAATTCCCCTTAAATTACCTCAAAATCCTCGCCACAGACCCCAAATTCCCACTGAATTACCTCAAAATCCTCGCCACAGATCTTAAATTCCCACTGAATTACCTCAAAATCCTCACCACAGACCCCAAATTCCCCTTAAATTACCTCAAAATCCTCACCACAGACCTTAAATTCCCCTTAAATTACCTCAAAATCCTCACCACAGACCTTAAATTCCCCTTAAATTACCTCAAAATCCTCGCCACAGATCTTAAATTCCCCTTAAATTACCTCAAAATCCTCGCCACAGACCCCAAATTCCCCTTAAATTACCTCAAAATCCTCGCCACAGACCCCAAATCCCCCCAAAATCAACCCCAAATCCTCCGGGGATCCCAAATTCCCCCTGAATTACCTCAAAATCCTCGCCACAGGTCTTAAATTCCCCTTAAATTACCTCAAAATCCTCGCCACAGATTTAAAATTCCCACTGAATTACCTCAAAATCCTCGCCACAGACCCCGAATTCCCACTGAATTACCTCAAAATCCTCGCCACAGATCTTAAATTCCCCTTAAATTACCTCAAAATCCTCGCCACAGATCTTAAATTCCCCTTAAATTACCTCAAAATCCTCGCCACAGATCTTAAATTCCCCTTAAATTACCTCAAAATCCTCGCCACAGATCTTAAATTCCCACTGAATTACCTCAAAATCCTCGCCACAGACCCCGAATTCCCACTGAATTACCTCAAAATCCTCGCCACAGATCTTAAATTCCCCTTAAATTACCTCAAAATCCTCGCCACAGATCTTAAATTCCCCTTAAATTACCTCAAAATCCTCGCCACAGATCTTAAATTCCCCTTAAATTACCTCAAAATCCTCGCCACAGATCTTAAATTCCCCTTAAATTACCTCAAAATCCTCGCCACAGACCCCAAATTCCCCTTAAATTACCTCAAAATCCTCGCCACAGATCTTAAATTCCCCTTAAATTACCTCAAAATCCTCGCCACAGATCTTAAATTCCCACTGAATTACCGCAAAATCCTCGCCACAGATCTTAAATTCCCCTTAAATTACCTCAAAATCCTCGCCACAGATCTTAAATTCCCACTGAATTACCTCAAAATCCTCGCCACAGATCTTAAATTCCCCTTAAATTACCTCAAAATCCTCGCCACAGACCCCAAATTCCCACTGAATTACCTCAAAATCCTCGCCACAGATCTTAAATTCCCACTGAATTACCTCAAAATCCTCGCCACAGATCTTAAATTCCCCACTGAATTACCTCAAAATCCTCGCCACAGACCCCAAATTCCCCTTAAATTACCTCAAAATCCTCGCCACAGATCTTAAATTCCTACCAAGTTATCCCAAAATTACCCCAAATCCCCCCCATGACCTCAGATCCCCCCCAAACCCACCCAATGACCCCAAATCCCCTCAAATCCCCCCAAATCCTCCTCCATGATCCTAAAACTCCCCCCAAACCCCCCCCAATGACCCCAAATCCCCCCCAAATGACCCAAACCCCCCCTCAATGACCCCAAATCTTTCCAATGACCCCAAATCCCCCCCAATGACCCCAAATCCCTCCCAATGACCCCAAACGTCCCCAATGATCCGAAATTCCCCCAATGACCCCAAATCCCCCCGAACGACCCCAAATCCCTCCCAGGACCCCAAAACCCCCCAATGACCCCAAATCCCTCCCAATGACCCCAAATCCCCTCAAATCCCCCCAAAGACCCCAAATCCCCTCCAATGACTTCAAATCCCCAAATCCCCCCCAAATCCCCCCCAAATCCCCCTGAATGACCCAAAACCCCCCCCACAATGGCCCCAAATCCATCCCAATGACCCCAAATCCCCCCAATGACCCCAAACCTGCCCAATAACCCCAAATCCCCCCAAATGACCCCAAATCCCCACAATGACCCCAAATCCCCCCCAAAACCCCCCCAACCCCCCCCCAAATGACCCCAAAACCCCCCCAGGACCCCAAAACACCCCCAAATTCTTCCAATGACCCCAAATCCCCCCAAATGACCCCAAATCCCTCCCAATGCCCCCAAATCCCCACAATGCCCCCAAAACCCCCCCAACCCCCCCCAAGCCCCCCAAACCCCCCCAAAAAACCCCCAACCCCCCCAAACCCCCCCAATGACCCCAAATCCCCCCAATGCCCCCAATGACCCCAAATCCCCCCCAATGACCCCAAAACACCCCGAAATCCTTCCAATGACCCCAAACCCCCGAAAACCCCCCCAAACCCCCCCAAACCCCCCCCTACCATCTCCTCGGTGCTCAGGTACTCGCTGGCCAGGCGGGGGAGGGGCAGCTCCAGGCTCTGGGGGGAGGGGCCGGCCGGGGGGAGGGGGAGGGGCCCGGGCCGGGGGTCCCCCCCCGCGTCCTGCGTCCCCCCCGGGCCCAGGCGGAACGAGGGGCGCGGCGCCGGCTCGTCGTACTGCGGCAGCAGCGCCCGCGCGGCCTGCGGGGGCATATCGCGATATGTCACGATAGCGAGCGATATGTCACGATATCGAGTGATGTGTCGCGATATTGAGTGATATGTCGTGATATCGAGTGATATGTCGCGATATTGAGTGATATGTCGCGATATCGAGTGATGTGTTGCGATATCAAGTGATATGTCGCGATATCGAGTGATATGTCGCGATAGCGAGCGACGCGGCGCGATAGTGAGCGATATGTCGCGATATCAAGTGACGCGTTGCGATATCGAGCTACACGTCGTGATATCGAGTGACGCGTCACGATATCGAGTGATATGTCGCGATATCGAGTGATATGTCGCGATATCGAGTGATATGGCGCGATATCGGGCGATATGTCGCGATAGTGAGTGATATGTGGTGATATTGAATGATATGTCGCGATATCGAGTGATATGTCGCGATATCGAGTGATATGTCGCGATATCGAGTGGTATGTCATGATATCGAGTGACACGTCGCAATATCGAGTGATATGTCATGATACCGAGCGGCGCGGCGCGATAGGGAACGATATGGCGCGATATCGAGTGATATGTCGCGATATCGAGTGGCACGTTGTGATATCGAGTGATATGTCGCGATATCGAGTGACATGTCGTGATATCGAGCGATATGCCGTGATATCGAGTGATATGTCGCGATATCGAGTGATATGTCGCGATATCGAGTGATATGTCATGATATCGAGTGATATGTCGCGATATCGAGTGATATGTCGCGATATCGAGTGATATGTCGCGATATAGAGTGATATGTCACGATATCGAGTGATATGTGGTGATATCGAGTGATATGTGGTGATATCGAGTGACGCATCGCGATATCGAGGGACACGCTGCGATATCAAGTCACGCGTCGCGATATCGAGCAACACGTCGTGATATCGAGTGATATGTCACGATAGCAAGCGGCGCGGCGCGATAGTGAGCGATATGTTGTGATATCGAGTGATATGTCGTGGTATCGAGTGATATGTCGCGATAGCGAGTGATATGTCGCGATATCGAGTTACATGTCGTGATATCGAGTGATGTGTCGTGATATCAAGGGATGTGTCGCGATATGGAGTGATATGTCATGATATCGAGCAATATGTCGCAATATCGAGTGATATGTCGCGATATCGAGTGATATGTCGCGATATCGAGTGATATGTCGCGATATCGAGTGATATGTCGCGATATCGAGTGATATGTCGCGATATCGAGTGATATGTTGTGATATCGAGTGATATGTCGCGATATTGAGTGATGTGTCGCGATATCGAGTGATATGTCGTGATATCGAGTGATATGTCGCGATATTGAGTGATGTGTCGCGATATCGAGTGATGTGTCGCGATATTAAGTGATATGTCGCGATATCGAGTGATATATTGTGATATCGAGTGATATGTCGTGATATTGAGTGATATGTTGCGATATCGAGTGGCGCGTCGTGATATCGAGTGATATGTCGCGATATCGAGTGACGTATTGCGATAGTGAGTGATATGTTGCGATATCGAGTGATATGTCGCGATATCGAGCGATATGTCGCGATAGTGAGTGATATGTCACGATATCGAGTGATATGTCGCAATATCAAGCTACACGTCGCGATATCGAGTGATATGTCATGATATCGAGTGATATGTCACGATAGCGAGCGGCGCGGCGCGATAGGGAGCGATATGTCACGGTATTGAGTGATATGGCGCGATATCGAGTGATATGGCGCGATATCGAGTGATATGTCGCGATATCGATTGATATGTCGCGATATTGAGTGATGTGTCGCGATCTCGAGCGATGTGTCACGATATCAAGGGACGCGTCGCAATATTGAGTGATATGTCGTGATATCGAGTGATATGTCGCGATATTGAGTGATATGTCGCGATATCAAGGGACGCGTCGCGATATCAAGTGACGTGTCACGATATCGAGCGATGCGTCACGATTTTGAGGGATGCGTCGCGATATTGAGCAACACGTCGCGATATCAAGGGATGCATCGCGATATCGAGTGATATGTCGCGATATCAAGTGATATGTCGCAATATCGAGTGATATGTCGCGATATCGAGTGATATGTCGCGATATTGAGCTACACGTCGTGATATCGAGTGACGCATCACGATATCAAGGGACGTGCTGCGATGTCGATGTCAAGCGACACGTTGTGATATCGAGCGACATACAGCACTTGGTAATGTGTGATATATCGCGATATATCGCGATATCCGGGGGTACCTGGGGGCCGGGCTCCTGCTCTCCGTAGGGGTCGTAGTTGGGGCGGCGCCGCCGCAGCTCCTGCTCCTCCCGCGCCCGCGCCGCCGCCGCCAGCGCCGCCTGCTCCAAAATGTCCTCACCGCCCTCCAGCACCCCTGGCACCGGCACAGGGACAGGGACATGGGGACAGGGACACGGGACATGGGGACAGCATGGGGACATGGGGATGGACATGGGATAGGGGACATGGGGACAGTCAGGGGACACGGGACACAGGGACAGCATGGGGACATGGGGATGGACATGGGATAGGGGACATGGGAACAGCCAGGGGACAGGGACAGGGGACACGGGACAGCATGGGGACATGGGGACAGACAGGGGATAGGGGACACAGGGACAGCCAGGGGACACAGGGATGGACAGGGGACATGGGGACAGACAGGGGATAGGGGACACAGGGACAGCCAGGGGACATGGGGACAGTCAGGGGACACGGGGACAGGGGACATGGGGACACAGGGATGGACAGGGGACACAGGGACACGGGGACAGCCAGGGGACATGGGGACAGCCAGGGGACATGGGGACAGCCAGGGGACATGGGGACGGACAGGGGACACGAGGACAGGGGACACAGGAACAGGGGACAGCCAGGGGACACAGGGACGGACAGGGGACAGGGACAGTCAGGGGACACAGGGACAGGGGACATGAGACATGGGGACACAGGGACAGCCAGGGGACACGGGGACGGACAGGAGACAGGGACAGGGGACAGCCAGGGGACAGGGGGACAGCCAGGGGACACAGGGACAGCCAGGGGACATGGGGACACAGGGACAGACAGGGTACACAGGGACAGGGGACAGCCAGGGGACAGGGACAGGGGACACAGGGACGGACAGGGGACACAGGGACAGGGGACACAGGGACGGACAGGGGACACGGGGACAACATGGGGACACGGGGACAGCCGGGGGACACGGGACAGCCAGGAGACAGGGACATGGGGACACAGGGACAGAGGACACAGGGACGGACAGGGGACACGGGGACAGGGGACACGGGGACATGGGACAGAGGGGACATGGGGACGGACAGGGGACAGGGACAGCCAGGGGACAGAGACAGGGGACACGGGGATGGACAGGGGACATGGGGACGGACAGGGGACACGGGGACAGGGGACACGGGGACAGCCAGGGGATAGGGGACAGCATGGGGACATGGGGACAGCCAGGGGACACGGGGAGAGGGGACACAGGGACAGTCAAGGGACATGGGGACAGGGACAGCCAGGGGACACGGGGACACAGGGACAGGTGACACAGGGATGGACAGGAGACAAGGACAGGGGACACAGGGACAGGGGACAGCCAGGGGACAGAGGGGACACAGGGACAGCCAGGGGACACAGAGACAGGGGACATGGGGACAGGGGACACAGGGACAGGAGACAGCCAGGGGACAGAGGGGACACAGGGACAGCCAGGGGACATGGGGACGGACAGGGGACATGGGGACGGACAGGGGACAGCCGGGGGACATGGGGATGGACAGGGGACACAAGGACAGGGGACACAGGGACAGCCAGGGGACACAGGGACAGCCGGGGGACACAGGGACACGGGACAGAGGGGGACAGGGACA